TTCCGAAGTGACGAAGAATCAGAACAGCCTCATCAACCTCGCAGCCAGCCACGTCATCAATCATATACAGGTGGCAGCGGCCACGTCAGCAACGGCGCGTGGCAGCTGCCACGTCAGCATGCCCAGAAGACCATCGCCAGCCAGCACCTTGCCAGCCAGCAGCGCCTTGCTGTCCTCCTCTGCCAGCATATAGCCGGCGTCAAGCCAATGTCGCAATGTCGCAGCATAGCAACAAAGTCAAGTCCACGCGTGAAGTCAGCATTCACGCAAGACCGACCGAATGTTCTCCAGCCAGGAAGTCAACTCTTAAATAGCGTGGATGCGGGGTCTGGACCCCGGGTACTGAGGTCCTGCACCGTCCAGATCTCGATATGAATGAGGGCCCAGATCGGCCAGAAACTGTATTTCTCCCGCCCTGAATGCTGTCTGGGTACCTGCACACAACAAGTGAATGTATCCGTCCATAGGCCTGGGTACGGTACCTTTGACTCTACAGTTGTCTTTGACTGTTGAATTTCCCTTGTGCTGCGTTTGGTCACACATCCTCCTCGACAGACTCAGGCTGGGCATGTCTCGGTCACATAGCCCAGCACAGACAACTGAGTCTGTGTCTTACTGGGGGCAAAGTTCTGAGCCCCGGTCTGCTGTTGAACAGGGTTACTGCACATGGAAGAAACTGGACAAAATACATGCATGGAGGGAATAGACGTATCCCACCATAATCCGAAGCGAAGTTGACCCAAGTAGAGGAATAAAACAAGGCATGGAGGAAACTTGACAAAACTCTTAGATAGATAAAGAAGAAGCAAGCTATTGGGATCCGAAGTAGACATACGTGCAAGGAACGGACAAAATATGGAGGAAACTTGACAAAACACATACATGGACGAAGAAGAAGCAAAATACTAAGATCCAGAGTAGGCACAAGTGCAAGGGAGGGGCAAAGCATGGTGAAAGCTTTACAAAACACATATATTGACGAAGAAGAAGCAATCTACTATGATCTGAAGTAGGCACAAGTAGAGGAAGAAGATAAAGCTTGGAAGAAACTTGACAAAACGCATGCATGGAGGAAAAAGAAGCATCCCACCATGATCCGAAGCAGACACAAGTAGAAGAGGGAGACAAAATATCGAAGATAATTGACAAAACATATGCATGGAGGGAGAAGATGCATCCCACCATGATCCAGAGTAGACACAAGTAGAAAATAGAGGCAAAATGAAGCAGGAGCTCTAGTAGTGAGTACTAACCTAGAAGAATTCATAGTCCCAACTAAAAGGTAATTTGAGGAAGATGAAGAAGATGAGAAGAAGAGGAAGATGACGAAGTAGACGAAGAAGAAGAAGAAGAAGAAGAAGAGGAAGGAGTAGAAGACGAAGACGAAAAAAAGAAGAAGGAGAAGGAAACGAAGAAGAAGAAGAAGAAGAAGAAGAAGAAGAAGTAGAAGAAGAAGAAGAAGAAGAAGATGGAGGGTATATTCTCCGTTCCCACTCACCTCCTCTTATCTCTTGATTAGTTGACGACAAGCTCAATGAAGCTCTCTTCTTGTAGGAGGGTTCTCCTTCCTCACCCCCTTCCCTTCTTCTTCTCACTCTTCCTCCTTGGTTATGGCTTCCTCCTTCCATCTTGGAATGGAGGGCTAAGGGGACCCCAATCAACCTCTCAACTACCAGTAGAGCCAAGGGGGCATGGTGGAGCCCCTCCTTAGGCCAGCGCCACTCTCCCCAGCCTCTAGAGGCTCTATTTCTAGCCTCTATTCTACCTACACTCTCTAAAGTAGTACTGTAGCACCCCCTCGTAATCCGGTTTGGCCTAGGGCTCTACCGGCGGCACTTTGGCCATGTCTAATTGCCTCAATCAAATGTGAGTGGGGAGGGCAACATCCTTTTCTTAAGTAGGCGGCCTGCCACACTTTGGGCAGCCCATGGCCCCTTCTTATGTGCCCCAAAATGGGCCGAGACACTCCCAAGGCCTCTCCTTGCTCCCTCAGCCTTAAAGGTGCGTCCGCTAGTGTGGCATACTGCGTAGCCACACGGGCCTGCAGGGCCCGTCCCGCATTCTCAGCCTAAAAGCCTAGAAATAAGGGGTTACAGGCCCCTGTCGTTTCAGCCTGAAAACTGAAAACGAGGGCCTGCAGGCCCTATTTCGTTTTCAGCCTAAAACAGGGCTTTTCAGCCTGAAACGGAGGGCCACTTTCGGGCCCTCATAAGATCGACCTACCCTAATACTCAGGCACAAAACCAGGGTTTCGGGAACAGGCTATCTTTAGCCTGTTCCCACGACAGCCTCAAGCAGGAGCTGCAGCGGCAGCCCCTGACTCCCTTCGGCATTGGCAAGAGCAGCCTCCTGGATTGCCTCGCCCTGCAGTCAGGAGGCAGGCCGAGTAGTACATAGGGAGTTCCCATGCACTTCACGGGTAGGTAGTTGGACAAAAGGCACGAGTAGTCTTCAGGTTTCGGCCGCAGCACTCAGGAGGAGCGCTGCAGGAGTAGCTTAGCGCTAGCAGTAGTCTTCAGCGCTGAGTGCTAGTAGGTGGTAGTAGTAGAGTTGGGAGAGATGGCTGGCGGAGGCCAGTGGGACTTACCTGTGGCGCCATAGCTCCAGCTCCATCTTCAAGGTACCTGCATCAAGGCGCCAACTTCACAGGTTAGTACCGGACTGAGAGAGAGAGCGAGAGAGTTCTTCTTCTTCCTCTTCTAAGTCCACCATCTCTTCTTCCCCTCTCACCACCTGACTTCTCAGTATCAGCGGACTACAACAGAGAGAGAGAGAGTTGTGACTTGAGACTTGACGACATTGGATCCAGACTCGACCTTTGGGATTCAGACATTTTGACGAGGGACTATTTGGGCCTGTGCCGAAGACTTGGTGTTGACGACATTCCCATCTTCCCCTCTTCTTCGTCTAACCCCCCTCTTCTTCGTTTGTGTATGGTTGGGGCTGGCGCATTCTTCCTGTGTGAGCGCCAGACCCCTTCACACCATGGAACGATGATGATGATGTATGTTCAGGGCTGCATTGCAATATTGATTGTTCGGATCATTAGTATCTAAGTTTTCCGCTGCGCTATCTTGTACTTTGTTAGAGAGGTCGGTTCTTGTTCTGGTCTGCACCTTTACAATATGCAACAGCTAGCCTCTTGGGCAGCATTTGGACGTAGGGAGCAAGTATGCGTTGAGCTGTAGCTTCCCTTTCTTATAGAGGTTGTCCGCTCTTCCAAGAGTAGCCTTCGGGACTCCCACAAAAAGTTATGAGAGCTCCAAGGTGCTTCTCAAGGCTCTAGGCACAACACACCTCAGGAGTGTGTCTTTTTGAGGTACGATCTCGTCCTTCGATCTTGGTCCATTCCTAGGGCCAGATATTGTCTGAGATAAAGGCTACTGTACCTCAAATTTTGGTTGGATGCACTTGGCTTCTTTTTCTTTTCTTTTCTTTCTTTGTTTTATTTCTGTTTTTTTGGTCAAGTATAACTCATTCCATAATTGTCTGTTGTGAGTTGGCAACTTGGCACCACCACAATGCTCCTTTTTTCTTGGCCATCGATCCCATCTTAGGATCAATGGCCAAAAGAAAATTCGAGGTACCACATTTTTCCTTTTTCTTTTTCTCTCTTTACTTTATTCGGGATAATTGTGCAATACCCCGCTTGATATGCCTTGAAGTGGCCCCTCAGGCCACACGCAGGCCGCGACCCCGGTCTGAGGCCGCAAAGGCCAGGGGGGGGGGAATCCCCTTGTTGGCCCAGGGCCTGTGCGCTCTACAGTTGACTTCAGTCAACTGCCTGAGGCCCAACAGTCAAAGTCAATCTGGACCCAGCCCAGGCCGCCAGTCAGACACACACACTTGTTTGTATGCAGGTACCAAAACAACATTCGGACCAGGTGGAAGTGTGCAACTGTAAGCGATCTAGACCCTCGGCTGTGAGTCAATCTGGGCCACCGTGGGTGGGAGACCTGAGGCAGGTCAACTCGGTCTATCACTACATAAGACCCTGCCTCCAGGGAGTCAACATTCAGTCTTGCTATGCTGCTTTAACGTTGGGTTGACGCTAGCTAGATGCTAGCTTGACACTGGCTTGACGTTGGTTGGACGCTGGCTGTACGCTGGCATGACGCTGGTTGTACGCTGGCACTGTGGACGACGGCGCGAGACTGCTGCTTGCATGCTGGCGCCTTTCTGCTTTGGCGCCAGCCTATGTTGATGTGGCACAGAGCCACGCTGTCTTCAACATTGCTGATGTGGCGCATGCCACTCTGTCTTCAATGCTGACGTGGCATTTGCCACATTGTCTACATTGCTGAGCTGGACACGACAAGGAGGGAGATCGGGATTTGTGGATGATTGAGAGGGAACGAGATACTTAGATGTGGTTGATGTCGAGATTGTGCGCTGTTGATTGTCTCCAATGTCTTCACGAGAGAACTGTGCCACGTGGCACTTCGATATGATCAAGATTTGTCAAGCTCGTTACTGGATACTATTTTGCTGACGTGGAGGTGAGGGGAAGCCCGCAGAAGGAGTGGGGAATGTTGGGCGACTCTTTGTATGGTCATTGATTATTACTATCTCTTCCACCTTCTAATCTATTTATTCCCCCCCTCCACTCTCTTCGTCTACTGGAAACGAGACATTGTATCAGAGATCACATTCATTATTATTGGGGACAATGTTCAGAGTTCAGTTACCTTGTATTTCGACATCTGGCGAGTATCTTACAGATTGGGTTCATTACAATTTGGTATCAGAACATACCTTCTTTGTCGCAATCTGCTGTCAGGTGCCACGTGGCGCCCATGTAAGTGGTGGGTGCCGCATGTGTATCGGACGATACATGTTTATGCAATCAGACTCATTCTCAAACACACTTTTCATGCATGTAAACAGCAACGCAGCATACTGGCGACATACGCCCACTCAAAATTCAGATATATGGCTTTCAGATACGAGTTCACTCTCAATTGACTATGGCGACTTCAGCGCCCAAACATCTCACTGTTCACATACACTGGATCACCCTGGATATCCCACACGCATCACTCTAACACTCGAACACACACACACACT